GAGATTTAAGGGGAAATATGGACGATCTCACGGGGCTACAGAAACGTGGTGCCAGCCTTCAGAAAGTATTTTCAGCTGGGTCAGTCTGACTAGTGAACACATGGAGGTGGTGAGATGCGTCTATGGCTCTCTACTCCCTATGGAACTAAATAAAACCTTCTTGGCCTGTGCTATGCACTGAATGTTTGTGTCCCCCCAAAGTTCATATGTTAAAGCCCTAATCCCCAATATGATGTTATTTGGAGATGGGGCCCTTGGGAGGTGATTAAGTCTAAAGGTGGAGCCCAGATGAATAGGATTAGTGCACTTATGAAACATGAGATGATCTCTTTCTCCACCAAGGCAGAATAGAGCAAGGTGTCTATCTGCAAGCCAGGAAGAGGACCCTCAGCAGGAACCGAATTGGCTGCTACCTACCTTGACTTGGACTCCCCAGCCTCCAGAACTGAGAAATAAATGTTTACTGTTTAAACCACCCAGTCTATGGTATTTTTGTTATAGCAGCCTGAACTGACCAAGACAGCCTGGTATTCAAAATTGTCTTTAAGTTGGCCACGACTTACCTTTTCAGCTTTATCTGCTCACGTATTCTATGCTTTCACCAAACCAGAGTACAGCATAGACCTTCTAAACTTGCTGCCTCATATTTATATCTTTTGCAACATTTCCCCCCACCTGATATATCTTCTTCTTCCCTCATTTCTACCTGTTGAAATCAGATCTATCCTTTTGCGATCAGTGACAGACCAAATGCAGACTTTCCTGCTCATTCCATTTGAGAATGATTTCCACAGCCCTGTAGCATTTGCTTGTGACATGCACTCACTTGCAAGCAGTACTTGACACTATCTCATGTTTCACTCCTTGAAACACTGTCCTTCCTTGGTTTTCAAATACCACATTCTCCTGATTTTCTTCCTACCTTTTAAGCTATACTTTTTAAGGTTCTTGGTGAGTTTAACCTCCTGTACTTGGCTATTTTAAAAGCCAAAATTCCTCACAGCTCCACTCCGGACCCTCTCCTTTCCCCACACTCTTTCCCTCTTAGCTATGGTTTCAGTTACCATCAAATTCCCATCACCCCTGAGCTCCCTCAGCATCTTTGTATGGCTGTCTCAAAGGCAGCTCAACTGAGAATACAGTATTTATGCTGAGCCTGGCCCTCTTCTGGCATTCTCTCTCTCCAGTTCCACAAGCCAGAAACCTGGGGGCCCTCCTTGAAATCTCCCTCTGGTACCCCTCTATCTAAGCCAAGCCCTGTCCATTTTGCCTTTTACACGTCTTTCTGGCCTGTCATTTCTCCCCATCTCTATGGCCACTACCCTTGTCTCACCTTCCAGCATCCTTTGCCTGGACTATTACAATAGTTTTACTGGCTTCTCCCCACCTACCCCTGCTCCACTCTGTTCTCTACACTGCAACTAGAACGATCTTTCCAAAATGCAAATCTCGCCTTGTCACCCCTTTGCCCAAAACCTACCAACTGCTTTCCATTGTCTGCACGTCCTACCCCAGACTCTTTGTTCAGACTTATCTGGTACCGCTCCCTGTCCAGGCTCTAGCTATACTGGCCTTCCAGTCTCTGTAGTGTCCCATCAAAGGGCCTTTGCACATGCAGCTCCTTCTACTGGGAGCGAGCTTTCCCTCCCTTGTTGCATAACTAACACCTTGTCATCCTCTATGTCAGATGAGCTGTCACTGTCAAAGAAGCTTTTACCACGACCCCTCCGTATATGCTCCCAGAGCATTCTATCGCTTTCCTTTATTGCCTACTCCAGTTGTAGTTACACTCGTTATTGCGATTGTTGTATTACGCGTATTCCTCAATAGCCTGTGAGCTCCAGTAGGGCAGAACCAGGTCTATTTTTGCTCTTTTTCCAGTGTCTGATACAGTAGACATTTGATAACAATGAGAATAAATGAGTGCAATTTTTGATGACAGGGAACATAAAACCTTTATCTTTGAAAATTTCAGTGCTTGCACAATGAATGGATGCATAAAATGTGTGTATACTAAGAATGCAGTGTAAAAGGGAATTCATTCATTCACTCTGGTGTAATGTTTACAGGTCTACCATACATCAGTAAACGTGCAGAGACTAAGAAGAAGCAGGATGAGCAAGATGGACTGGCTGGTTTTAAATCACAGCTGTGCAGTCTGGCTCCGACTTAGCTTAGGCAACACCTAGGCTATCTTCCCATTGCCCATTTCAACCCTCTGTTCCTTTTCACTTTGGCAGCCCCATGTATCACCCTTCCCCCCCCCCCTTTTTAATGGCATGTTAGCATGTTCTGGCGGTATGATCTTACAATTCCTCCTAATCCTGTGCTGGCCTAGAACTAGGGCTTGGCAACAAGACTCCAGGAAGACCCCTCAGGTGTGAGTACCAGAGTCTCTGGGACACCTGGTCAAGGCCATGTGCAGGTGGGGGGAGTGTCGAGGGCTAGAATGCGCCTGGAAGGGGAGAAAGGCTCAGCCTGGATGGCACTGCTGGCCCAGGCTAGACCCAGGCCCCAGAGGGGCACATAGAAAATTTTGTTGAAAGCAGTCTGAAGCAAAAGGCCCCCAAAGCAGTCCTGCTCCCTGGCTTTCTGCACGTCTCAGCTTCACACTTATGGCCTGGGCATGATCTGCATGACAGCTGTGACCAAGAACTGTCCCTTCTATCTGTGGTGCTTCAAAGGGAGCAGCCTCACTTTGGCATTTTGCTTCAGGGAGCAGAAAAGCCCACCCATGGGCAAGGGTCCCCGTCTTCCGTATTTATCTAGATCACCTGCCTGCTGGGCAGTTTCAACACTACGTTCCTTCTCTTGTCTTCCTGGTTCTTTGACCTCAGCTACAGACTCTACTGTCTGATTACTCACCTCGTTCTCTCTCTACTTGAATCATTTGCCCAGTTCTGCTGACCAATCCCAGCCCTTCCCCATCTGCATCTCTCCCCTGTGGCTTCTCTTGGCTTCACACACTGGCAGCATTAGGTTGCAGCCAATCTTGCTGTGGAAAGGTCACCACGCAACTCAGCCCCCATTCTACCAGCTTCCTCTGCAAATCTTCTGGTAGCTGCATTTGACTTGCTCTGAATCCTTTTATAATTAGCAGCTTCGCTCCCTAAGCAGAATTAGTCACATCCAATTTTAAGGCGACAGGTTACATTTGTATCTCAGGGATGCAGAGGAAGCAGCCACAGCCCGAGCCCCTGGATTTTATGCAGAGACCTGGCCTTCTAGAAAAACCACAGTATTGACCACTTCGGCACTTTGTTTGACCGTTCCCACAGACAGGATGTGCACAGAGGACGGAATACGCTTAAGTGCAAACTAATGTTTCTCAGCCATATTCCAAAAGGCACAGAGCTAAGTGCACTCCATGAACCTCAGTTTCCAGATGCAGTCTTTTCACTGGAATGTTGACCTCACAGCCACTTTGCTTGGTCGGTTATCACCACTACTCTCTATTGCCAGGCTGAAATATTTATTTGAAAAATTGAAAACACAGATGCAATGTATTATACAAAAAAGGTCTTAATAGCATAATAAAAGTATTGTTGGAAGGAAACAAAAGCCAGTGGCTACCTGCCCTGGGAAGGTAGGCACTCAGTGAAAAATGAAATTTATAGGAACTATTCTAACAGGAAATTGGGGAAAAGGTGAAAAAGAAAAAAAGAAAAAGAAAAACCCAACCCTATCCCTGCAAACCTAAATGTGAAAGAGTTTGTTATAAGTTTGAGACAACTTTGTTATCACCAAGATTTAACCGAACCCCTCGGTTTGTCCCTATGAGCGGTAATCAGCTTAATTTAGGGGCTTCAAACCTGAGGTAGTTGAAAGACATGTCTGGAAAAATCTCCTCTCAGAATTGAACCCAATGACATCTGGCCATTGTTTCCTGCTGCTTTGGCTCCCGGGGTGAGAGGTTTTGCCACTGCTGTGTGTTACTGACCCTATATTTGGCCTGAACCTGGGAGACAAAGGAATTGAACAGTTAGCAACTGGTCTGGCTTGCTGTCCTGCTGGCTGGCAGGCTCCTGGTGATGCTTATCTATGCTACAGGCAGCATGGTCTCTGGAGGACCAAGGATGGCAAAGAGAGGGCAGAGCCAGTCTGCTTGGAAGGCCAATGTTGGGACTGAAGGCTTTCACTGGCAGGAAGGATTTCCAGAGATTTGGAAAGGTGGCAGAAGGTAGCAAGACATTTACTAGCTGTTAAAGACTAAGGTAAAGTGGAGCCAGGAGACCCCTCTAGATGAAGGAGTTGGTCAAGAAGTGAGAACTTCCCAGGTGCAAGCAGAAAACCAGTTCCTCTTCAGGGGCCAGAGGCTAAAGCAAACTAACCTGACTGAAAAGACATGTACTTGGGATCCCTGTGCTGCCTGGTATAAACGTAGGTGTCCGATTTGGTGGCTGAAATGATTCCAAGAAAGGATGCTCTGGATAGTGTTTGGTTCTTCCAGCCACTGGGTTAAGAACTCATATTCAGGTGGGATCCTAGGGGGATCTGTGGGCAGCAGAATCAGCAAACAATCTAAATTACAGTCTCATTCAAACTCCTTACTCAGACATAAAAATAACCCCACAAAGGTAGGTCTTTTCTTCTTTTTTTCTCATTGCATATACAAATATCCTTACTCTAGAGGTATTAGAGCACTGTATAACAAAATTAAATAACAGATGCAGCTGTATTTCAACCTCTTATCAATCCTGAACTGTCCTACCTTATTATGACCCATTTACACTCACCCATGAGACTTCAGCCACTAATGACGCTCAGTGACTCATTTAAAAGGCTGTGAGGTTCATTTTCCGCTCTAAGATGTGATTCTTGTTTTAATCAAAGGCATTTCACACCAAGTATAACACGCTCGTTTTCAGAATAGCCAAAACAGGACAGTTGGATTTTGGCTAGAGAATGGACTAGTTTCTAATCTGAGCTATTAGGAAAGTAATTACACTAAATCTGACAGGTATTTCCTAGCGTTAAGACTGAATTAGCCTGTGCTCCTGTTTTAGTGCTTTCTAAACCGTTTTATTATACAGGTTAAGACCAAAAAGATTTTAAAAATTTCTGTGGCTTCTTTTTAGAGGAAGTGTTATTCAGAGAATCTTAATCTGGCCCAATATACTAGATTCCCCCTGCACGGCAATTTGTAGCATGAGTGTGAATGGCCATGACTCCAGAAGTGAGGACATGCTGACCACACTGGGAACACACTGACTCGCTTAACTGGCACAACTGAGCCTCAGAATGGAAAAACACTGAGCACAAAGAAGCATTAAACATAAGACTGCCCAATTTCTACTGCTGATACCTCCTTAGCCTAGTACGGAGGTCACACATCTGAGTAAGGTAATCTGAGTTCCTGGGAGACAGATTTCTGAGTGTCCCACTTAGAAACTGTACAGAGAGGAAGTCAGGGGTGGGTTAGGAAGAGGAGGGCTTATTCACAGTGATCAAACAGAAGTCTCACAACCTGTCACGCAGCAAAACTTAGCCATGTTCCTTTGGGACAGACAGCTACTACCTATGAATTGCTACAGATAAAGAAGGAAGACGTTGTTTTCCAAGATCGGAAGGTCACTTAAATGCTGGGGTCCATTTGGAAGTGGCAAAGTGCTGTCAGGCTGCTGGTCTCTAGGAGGCTGTGCATGTGCCCTCTGTCCTCATGTGCCCTGGAACCATGCGTGGCCGGAAGGAGTCAGAGCCGGTGGTTCCCCTTTCTTGTCTTCCCTGACCCAGATGCTCTGAGGAACCTGCTTGTTTTGGGACCCAGGCCAGTAACAATCCAAGGATGGCATCTGGGCCTTGTTGTGATCTTGAAGGCCTACGTGGTAGGGCAACAGTGCAAGCCATGCCATAGTCATACGTTAAATCCCGATTGCTCCAAGCGTCTTTTTATGGGCTGCTGCTGCTTAAAGGAGGTTAGTAATAAATATTAAGGGCACCAAACCAAGCACAGTGTTCTATCGTGATGGAAACAAGTGTGTCTGATCTTCCGGGCCTGTCCTAGGTAGAATATAGAACTGTCTTCAGATTCAAGAGGATGCCAAGGCAGACACGTGGAGAAAGGAATTAGAAACCCCTCACACACTCCCTCTAGGGCCCTGCCTAGGTGTGAAGGATGGTGGTCCACGTGACGTTGCATGGACAGTTCGCTCCAGGGCAAGCAGTGTTGTGACTCTCACCAGGTCCGTTCAAGCATGGGATAAGGTTTCTGAGCCTGGTCACAGGAGTTCCTAAGCAAGGTGTCCCCTGAAGACCTGGGCTGGGTGCACCCACCTCTCTCCTCTTTCAGTTGCCCTCTCACATGTGAAGATGGCCAGAGGCTTTCAGCTGGGCTCCAGGTTTAGGAAGGAAAGGCACTCGCTCCGCTTCTGCCTTTGAGGAAAGCTATCACTCAGCAGCTCCACCCACCCTGGAGAGTGGCCACGGGCGGGTGGCGGGGCACGAGGCTGAGGTGAGCACCAAGGGAAGCTTGAGCAGCACCATGGCGGGGACAGCCATGCTGTGGGCACCAGAGGACTCAGAGCTCCAGGGTCATCATGCCCTTCAGGAGAGTTGGCTATGTGAGTGAAACTTTAAAAAATAAAACCAAAAAGCCCAACCAACCACTGTAAGAAGCAGCGGGAATCCACAGAATTGCAAATAGAGGGGGGACTGCGTCAGTATTCTCAGCCAGGACACTCCTGCTGTCCTTCTGCTGTGCACAGGCCAGGCTAGTGTCCTGGTTTGGAATCCACCAGCCCTCGGATGCTCACAAGTTTGTGCAAATGATGAAACGGGAAAGACTGAGAAGAAAACAAAAGAGAAAATGTGTAAGATCTCCCCACTCCAAGCTCTCACCAACAAGAGGCCCCTCTAATAAGGACACCCATTGTTGAGGGGCCAAACGGTAGGTGGGACTGGATGGAGGTCCTCTGTTTGGTGGCCCTGTCCTCCCTCCTCTTTGGACCTGGGCTTGCTCATGGGCAACACAGGCCAGCCTGGACACTAGGGAGGCAGGGAAAGAACAGAAGTGGGGGGTTCAGGCAGGAAGCGTGTCACTGTGGAGGGAGTCTTTGCAAGGGTCATGCTGCTTCTCAGCACTGGTCATTGGGAGTGGTGCGGCTGCCACAGGGACTGCAAGGATTTGGTCCGTGGCTGGGGAAATAACAAACACGTAGATGGGTAACAAGGATTTACACTGACATATGGGGCGTTGGTTTGGCTCTATTCCTTTTCGGTTACTGCTTCTTGCAGTGTAGGTGGAGATGCTTCTGTTCCTAAAAGAAAATGATAACTTATATAGCACAATACTTCCTACATGCACTCATTCATTTAACCCACAAAAACTGCCACTGTGTTGGGCTCTAGAATACATTATAATCATAACCATAGTGTGATCTTCTGTTCCCTGAGTTCAGTGTCTAGAACGGATCAGGATCTATTTATGGTTGGTTCCCAGAGTGGGTCAAGTCCAGCAAGAATCAACAGTCATGGCTGTGATCAAGTTGGCCACTTGGGACATGCGAGAAAGTGCATGCAGACTGTGGGTGACAGTGTGTGTGGGCTGGCGGGCCAAGTATCGCGGCCACGCACCCCACCTCTCAGCTCCTGAACCCTCAATCCCTTGGCCGTTGTTGCCCATGGCTGACTCTGGACAGTCAGAACCTTGAAATTCACTAGCCCTGCCTGACAGATCCCCACTGACCATTACCCATTGACAATTCAGTCCTATTGATGAATGTAAACTCCTGGGGAGCCAACCAGGCCAGTGGGCCTGCAGGGGACGGGAGTGAGTGAGCCTAGAGTCCCTCGGTCAGCAAAAGCTTTCAAGTCACTACAGGTTACCCCAATTTTAGGCTTAAAGGTCATTTATGACTGAAGAGAAAACAGGCTCCACGGGAGAGGAGAGCAGTAGGAGGAAGTGGCTGAGCCGAGGGCTCCCGCGCTGTGCTGTGGGAAGGGCCCACTGGCCGCGCCCTGGCAGAGCCGCTCACCTTCCTCCCAGCCCTCAGCGACGCCGGCGAGCTCGTAGTGCTTCTTTCGGAGCTCCCCCAGCTTCTGGCGCTCCTTCTGCAGCTCATTCTCCAGCTCCAGCACCCTCACCTGTGGGGAAGGTGGGTGCAATGGTCTTTTGATCAGCTTGCCGACAACAGTCTTATTTTGACTTAACCCCTTTCCCCTGCATTCTGGTTTCCTTCTTGTGTATTTTGCAGCCTGTTTTCATAGCCATCCAGTCCTCAGTTTCAGCTGTGTGCTCTCATCTCCCCATCATCTTGCTCATGCGTCTACCCCAGTGGCTCTTACGTTTTTCTCACTGTGATCCTCTCCTGGACATGGATGATGCTTTAAAACCAAAGGCTTTGGTGGGATAAGTCGCTAATAAGTCGCTAACTGAATACAAGTCTACTATTTAGCCCACCTATCTGGTGGGTTCCAAACTAGTTGTGCCCCTTTTTCAATCCCAGCTCCCTGGAAGTCCAAGTAGGAACCAGATATGATGGTTCTGGTGTCTCTGAGGTATTGGTGCAACCTAGAGCTATTACTTTTCCAGGAGAAGGCACAACAGTCTTACTAAAGAAAGGTGTGATCTTGACTAGCTCTACTTCTGATTCATTAATGTTTTAATTCAAGAAACATTTGCTGAGCACCCATTTGTACCCCAGGCTCTGTTACAGGTGCTGGAGACATAGTGGCCAATAGATAGATGAGGTCGCTGTTTACCTTGTAGGGGGGAAAAGATAAACAAATGAACAAGAAAAGATCAGATTGTAAAGGAAATGACACAGGGTGATGTGATAAAGACTAAGGGTGGTCAACAAAGGCTACTCTCAGGACGTCACTTTCAAGCCGAAACCTAAATGGCCGTAAGAGCTCAGAGTTGTTCATGGAGTTGTTCAGAGAACTGGGAAGAATATCCCAGGCAGAGGAGCAAAGGCTGTAAAGCAGGAATGCGCTTGCGGTGCTGGGAGAATGAAGGAACCCTGTGTGAGAGGGAGAGGGCCATGAGAGGAGGTAGGGGTCACTTTGCTTCTTTGTGCAAAGGGAAGGATTTAAGCCAGGAGGTGACATGTTGTCATTTATGTTTAAAAATACTATGTGGAGAATAAATGTAGACGGTCAAAAGTGGGAGCGACTAGATCCAGTGAAGTGGTTCCTTTCCTGTTTTTAAATTTCTCATTAAGGAAAATGTGAAACATGTACAGAAGGATGGAGACGAGCATAGGGACCCACCACGTGCCTTTCTGTGGCTCCACCGGCGTCGACTCGCAGCAGACTAACCTCAGCAATGCTCTTGGCTATTCTCCCCACCACCTGACTCTGACACAGGATTATTCTGAAGCAAATACTCGCGTACATTGTAGGTGTTTTGCAGCAGTTCAGGAGACAGACAATGGTGTGTTTTGGAGATTAGAATTGACCAGACTTGCTGGTGGATTGGATGTGGAGGGTGAGGGGAAGACAGGCACCACGGATGACTCCTATGTTTGGGGCTCAGCACCCAGATGGGTGGTGGGGGTGCCATTTACTGAGATGGAGAAAATGAGGGAGGGACAGAGTTGGGTGTGAGGGACACCAAGAGGCTATTTCAGACATGTCACATTTGAGATACTTATTGGGCATGAAGTGGAGATACCAAGTAGGCAGTTGGATATGGATAGAGAGAAGAATTTGGAATTTACCAGCATACAGATGGTACTTAAAGTCAAGCAGGAGTGGATGAGACCACTAAGCAAGAAAATCCTGTCAATATTTAGACAGAAATTTGGCCACATGCCTTTTCTTAAAGATGCTGAGTGAGCTTAACAATCACAGTCCGGATTTTACCCCAAGACCAATGACTGATCATTCTAGAACAAGGATGTCAGATGTTTTCAGGATCGCACTGATTCCTATCTTGAATGGCATAACTCTACTCAGCAACGGAGAGAAACGGCACTGCCTCTGAGGAGCTAACAGAGAATTGATTTTGTTTTAAACTAAAGTCATACACAATTAATACACATCAGAAGATTTAAAAAACTGTCTACAGTAAGACCACTAAACAGTTTGTGGACTGCTGGGAGGTCAAACCTAGTAGGCAAGAGTTAAGATTCTGACCTTTATGAATCACCTCTCTCCACCTCTACTGTTACTTCCAGCATGATTTACGTTCAGTCTTGGGCTAGTAGGTGCATCTCTGCTCATTTCTCCCCAAGTCTCTCTCTCTCTCTCTTTGGCTTTTCTCCATGGGAGTAATATTTGGGGTTGATATCTGGGCAACAGAGATTGTCTAGACTCAAAGACGGAGCTCCTACCTGGGAATCCATCTCTTGGCGTTTGATCTGCGTCAGTGTCATGCTTGAGAAGTCCATATTGTCTGCAAAGACGGAAATAAGACGGTCTTGTCAAATGCTATCCCTGGGTGGCTCTCGCCTGAGAGGCAGCCCAGGCCAATGCTCTGCTGAAATGCTTGGCATGCCATTTGCCAACATGTGCATGGAAGCAACTGAGGGACAGAGAGCAAGAAAGGATGAGGAGGTTACCAGGTAACCAGGATCAGACCTTCCCAGAGGCAACCAGGTCCATAGAGCTATTTCTCAAATTCAGAGAAACAGCTAAATGGCAAATCTACTAAAGGGCCTGTCACTGTACCGATGTAAACAGCATGCCCATGTGGTGTCCCACCTTAGGAGAAAATAATAAATATGAATATAAACAGATGAAAAACTAGACTTTAGAAACAGAACTGTGGGAAGCTGGGATTGTGGGAAAGAATGGAAAGAACGACTAAATGGGGTGGCTCAGAAAAGCATCACTTCAGAAAGGCTACCTGTCTCCTCAATCTGTGATTTGCCAGAAATGGTGGAGGCCACGACCCCAGCAGTGGCGTGGTTCACTCTCCGAGAGGCCTGCTGCAGCTGGGCTAGGTTGGGGCTGTCCTTATCAGCTTTCACCTGTCAGGACAAAGCAGACAGGTTCACACAACACCTAGAGCAGCAAGGACTGAACCAAATAGTTGGCCTGATGGTTCTTGACAAATATGCATGAGCTGCTGCAGTCACCAATCAACTTCTCTAAAACTGCTGCCTACAGGGTCGGCTCCTGGCATATCTATAACATAAAAAGTTATTCCTGGCATTGTTGCTTGGTGGCCCAGAACTCTATCACTTATTTGGATAAACTGTCCCAGTTGTGGAGACCAATCTGGGACAACAAGAAATCAGGATGAATAAAGAACACTTGCTGGGGTGCCGTCAAACCCGTGAAAGGACCTTGGTCACAAGCCTTGCATGAGGATTAGTTGGAGCACTGGTTCAGACATGGACACTAATGAGGAGGCGCAGACACTGGCTGTGGGATCTGGGTCAAGCCAGGTAACCTGCTCCTTATTTGAGTGCTTCTTCAATGCCAGGATTGCTAATCGGAGGTTGGCACAGCTGGGACCATCAGAGGCCACTTGTGACGGGAGTACAGAGTGCATGTGGTGAGCTGGGTAGAGGGGCTCCCTGCTGACAGATGAAAGCTTCTAGAGGGTGATATGGGACCCTTAAGAGGCAGAATCTTTGTTTGGAACCCAACCTACCTGGACCCTGGATACATCATCTGTTCTTGGGGCCAGTTCATCCTCCATGTACTGTCTAACCTAGCTAGGCCTCACAATGTCCTAGGGGGTCCAGCACGGGTCCTACCTTGGATGCAGCCACAAGCTGGGCTGTACTAGCAGCAATTTCATGCGAACACACCATTAGCTCCTCAAATTTCCCTCTGCCTTGTACCACCAGATCGGCTGCATCCCTGATAAGAAAGGACATGATGAACTGGGTCTGAGACAGCCACAACCTATCATGACCCCACTTCCAGAATACCCTATCACCCCCTGGCTGGATGAGAGGACAGCTTGCCTGCCTGCCCTGCCCCTGGGTGGCCCCAGGAGACTTGGGTTCCCTTGCAAACTTTGAGTCCTACTGACTTCCTTATCAATAGCTCATGTCTAGGTTTTTCCCCCCTAGCTATTCTCTGGGGTAGATCAATGAAATGGGAGTCAGGAAGGAGGAGCCTTGGGACCTGCAGACACTTACACCATGACGGTAGCTCCCCAGCCCACAGCTTTAGAAGCTGAGATGAGTCCTTCCGTCCACCGAGAGTTCTTGGCATAAAACTCTTTAGGGGATGCCGTACCCTAGGGAAGTAAAAAACAGTAATAACTATCTTTTATTGAGTGCCTACTATGTGCCAGGTCGCTTCCATATATATTACCCCATATAGTCTTCATGGTAACTCTGAGAGGTGAACATTACTATTCCCATTCTACCAATAAGAAAACTAAGATCGGAGAGGCAAAGATACTTTTACTTTTCCCTAGGTCATGCAGCAAATAAATGGAAGTAAATCCTAGGCTTTTCTGACTCCAAAGCCTGTAGCATTTCTATTATATCACAATGTTTCTATATTATAGATAAAAGAATATACATATGTTCACACACGAATAAGTTAGGATCGGAGGGGAGTCCAGCTACTCTCCATCATTTGTCAAAAGAGGAGGATACACAGTGAACAATTTAAAGAATTATTTCTACTTGGATTTAAAAAATGTTTTTATGCTTTGGAAGTGTCTGATGGTCTGAGAATCTGCAAATACTCCTTGTTCAGTCTGTCTTTCTATTTTAGGAACAGAAAACATTACCTCACAGACTGATAAAAAGCACCACCAAAGCAGATATGGCTGCTTTCTTTCTAGGATTGTTTTCAGGCTCATAACCCCATCCCTGGACCTGTGCCTCCTAAGCTGCAGCTGCATACTGGACATGAGGCTGACAGTGAGCTGACTCTGCTGTTGGGAACAGACATGGCAAAGTCCCCATGAAAAGTCGATGCCAGGTCTGCTCTTTGGACCTGCCCAGTCTGCAAAAGTCCTCACTTTCTCCTCAGAAGGCCCAGCCATGCAATGTAAATGGGGTTTCCACCCTAAGCTCCATCGACATCGCCTAGGGAAAGGGAGCTGGAGGTGGAAGCTCCAGCTGCCCTCTGGGGACCTGGCAGGGACCCAACTTCTTCCAACAGTGTCTGCTGACTTGCACAGAAGTGGCAGCTGCGTCTTCAGGTGGACACAAAGAAGGAGATGGCTGCATAACTGGATTTCAGTGAACGTGGATGAGCCCCTCTGTGAGGTGGGAATCCATAGTCGATGTCTCTTCTCCGGTCCATGGGCCCACACTCACCCTGCCGCTCTCCACGATCTCTCTCTGGAGGTCCTTGGAGGCCACAATCAGGACCTGAATAGTTTGCATTAGGCTGGTGCAGGAACCAAGGATCCTGGGGGAAAAAAAAGTCTCTTTTTCACTCTTAAAGGCAAACTTGGAATGGAAAGAGAGGCAAGGAAAGCTCAGACATTGCTGGAATCCTCCAGGGTGAAACCCTGAAGGGAAGGCAAGAGAGGGAAAAGACTTGTTCATAAGTATTGGTTAAGTCATGATTCCTGGGGCTTCTTTTTCTCTAATTACCATCATCGTTAATATTGCCATCAACAATTACATGGACTCAGCTCTTCCCCGTGGCTGCTAATGTTCTAACTCCCCAGTGGATGTGCAAACTATAATCCAGTGCGAGGAAGACTGATCCTGCTCACCCAGGTGCTCCAAGCTGCTCAGACTGACCTTTCATTCACCTCCAATTTGACTCCCGTGTCTCCCGCTCGGGATTTGCTGAGCATCTCCTGTTAAAAGGAAGTATGGTTTCTAAATATGTCATGAGTACTGAGAATCCACTGATGTCCTACTATGCTTTGAATCCAATATCCTGTGGTAGCTGAGAAATCTGAATCTGGAAGTCCCCATCCACATCCTTGCAAGAGTCAGGAAAAAAATCCAGACCTCCAATCTATTCAGGTGGGACGCAGCCACAGCAGGCTGGCTCTACAGCCCATGAGCGCCTTGACGTTCTGGCATCCAGGCTGATATGTGCAGAACCACAGCCCCTGCCGAGAGAGAGGCATCTGCTACCAGGTCCTAGGGGCAGGTGTTCACACATGGTGGGCATGAGACTTCCACCAGAGAAGCAGTATGTGGCCTTCCCAGTGGTGCCCACTCAGCTTTTTCTGGGAGAATTGTTACCACTGATTGGGGTGCCACTGATTTACTGAGTGCCTGGAGAGGAGATAAACGTGCACTATCTCATTTATCTCTTACAACAGTCCTTCTGGGGTAGGTATTATGATTCTTGCCGTCATATAGAAGTAGAATCTGAATCTTAGCAAGGTGGATGTAACTAAATGGACATCATATAACTAATAAGTTCTTGCTATGGAATTTGAACTTGGTGGTCTGACACCAAAGTATCTGATCCCTGAGGAAACTGCCAACCTTCCTTCAATGAGGGACTTCTCATTTCTGTCCCTCAGAGATGCCAGTGAGTCTGGGTTTTGGTTTCCTTTACAAGGGGCTTCTGCAGCCTTAATGGATGACTGCAATACGTCTAATGGGCAATATTGCCAAAGGGCAGGTGCAGGAGCGTTGCTTTGGGAGATCCTGCGGGAGCTTCCATACCTCTATCCTTGCCGTGGCAGCCTCAATGGCAGCTGAAGTGGCAGCCATCTCCTTGTCCACCAGGTCCCCCAGCTCCTCCTGTTTGATGTCCAGGCCCCTGGGCAGGAGCTCCTGTGAACAGCATCACAAGGCTGAAATGACCCTTTGAGCTGCTCTCTCTTCTCTTTTTGCAGACCTGTAACCCTGACTTGGTGGCAGAGGTAGGAGGGCCCCACCACAGAGCACCTCCTACAAGCTGTGGAGAGGGCTTTCACAGACCGCATTTGGAACTCACTATGACATGAACTCTGGAACTTCATGCTCCTCCCTGCACACTTGCTCAGACCCACCTCTGTCCACGATGCCATCGCTGCCTAGCCCCAGGCAGCCATTCAGCTGCAGCCACTCAGACCCTAACCCCATGCTGCATTATGTCATCACATTTGGTCCATGGGAGGTATTTTTAAAACTTTTTCAAATTCAGATGATATCTTCCAACCAGTCTGACCCTTATTTAACTCTGCTTCCACAGCAATCATATGAGGTAGTTACTAGTCCTGTTGTACAGATGGGAAGCCAAAGCTCAGAGAGGTAACGTGTCCTGACCACAGGTATGCTGCTGACAGATGGTAGAGCAGAGACTTGAACTCAGGTCTGACTAATGGCAAAATTCATGGTTTTAAAAAACATTACATGTTACGCATATTATAGAATAAAATATACATGAGTGGTTTAAAGAATGAGAATAAAGACCCATGTTATCCATCACCCAACTTAAGGAACAGCTTAAGAAACATTATTGATACCTTTGGAATCCCCTTTATCCTGCCCTGACTTTATCTCCCTTCCTCCCTACTTTCCACCCCAGATAAACAGAGAATTCATGAGAGTAATTATCGTGTCTTATTTGTTTAACTCTGTATGGATGCATCCCTAAACAATACATTGTTAAGTTTGAATCTTTTGGTCTTTACATAAAAGGAATCAGAGTGGCAGGCAATGAGAGCTTGAGGAAAGTGTTAGGGTTTTTTTTTTTTTTTAAAAAAAAGGAGGGCTGGCTGGTTACCACAGTTGGTTAGAGCATGGTGCTGATAACACCAAGGTCAAGGGTTCAAATCCCCACACTGGCCAGCTGCCCCCCAAAAAAAATAAATAAAAGGAATCGTATTTGTGTGTATTTTTCCATGACCTTATTTTTCACTCGACATTCTATGTGTGCACTTCACCCATAATCTAGAGATTCTATTCCTAGGTATACCCCAGAGAAACACTTCCATATGTGTATCAAGAGATATGTAGGGCTGAGCCCGTGGCTCACTCGGGAGAGTGCGGTGCTGGGAGCGCAGCAGTGCTCCCGCCGCGGGTTCGGATCCTATATAGGGATGGCCGGTGCACTCACAGCGCTCACTGGCTGAGCGCGGTACGGCCGGGCTCAAAAAGGACAAAAAAAAAAAAAAAAGAGATATGTAGAGATATGTACAAGAATGATCATAGAAACACAGTTGTAATTGTCTAAACTGGAAATAACCCAAATGTCCATCAACAAGAGAACAGAGAGATAGATTAAGCTGTAGTCATACAGTGGAATACTACAGAGTGGTGAACATGACCGTGTCCACACTGATGACTCTCACACAGAATGGTGAGGGCAAAAGCAAGCTGCAGAAGATATGTACCATATGACCCATTTATATAAAGTCAACAACACGTAAAACTAATAACATATTACTTATGGAGTTAGAAAAAGGACATGGTCTTTCTAGCATCTTCTGGAAATCTGATGAAACATTCCACCTTCCATCTCTTCACCTCTGCATTCCAGTTTAAAAAATCAGTTGCTGGGCCGGCCTGTGGCTCACTTGGGAGAGTGCGGTGCTGATAACACCAAGGCCACGGGTTCGGATCCCATATACGGATAGCCGGTTTGCTCACTGGCTGAGCGTGGTGCTGACACCAAGTCAAGGGTTAAGATCCCCTTACCGGTCATCTTTTAAAAAAAAAAAAAAAATCAGTTGCCACATTTTGTGTGATTCCTTCAGTTCTATCATCCAGTTGACTAATTCCCTCTTCTGCTCTGTTTTAATCTACTGTTGAACTCGTATACTAAGTTATTAGTGGTTACTTTCAATGACCATATTTTTCATTTCTAGAAGTTCCATGCTTCTTTTTCAAATATGTCTTGTTACTTCTGAAAACATCTTATTCCTTTCTCACACTTTTAATGCCTTTTTTTAGTTCTTTAAACATGACAAATATATTTATTATGAACTTCCTTAGGACTTTACCTGTGAGACTTCTCTGAGGTCAAGGTTCAAAGCGTATTCCTCCAGAGACAATTAGGATCTGCTTCTGCCAGATATCTGGGTCTCTAACAACCTGACTACTTTAAAGTTCAAACTCAATTTTCTATTTGGGGTTTTTAGGCCATATATGTAGTATGAGATTTGGACCCTGAACCCTTGGTGGCTTGCACTTAGAAATTCCCTAGGAAGCTGCATTTCCTTCTCCCAGAACCAAGGTTGAAAAAAAGTCTCTCTTGGAGAGTAGGCTTTTTTCCCCATTTACTCAAGGTGTGATCCTCCAGGGTTCTTTATTTGGGAGGAAGGATCTCCACTTAATCTTTTATACTACTTGGTCCTAGCTTTTATTTCTTGTTCTCCTCTGTATATGTGGCCCATAAAATCCAAACTCTAAAGTCAAGGGTTTGGATCCCCATACTGGCCAGCCACCAAAAAATAAGATAAAAATAAAATCCAAGCTCTAGACCACCAGAGATGGGTGAACCCCGTAGGACAAATGCTGACTCTAGCATTCTTTTGGCTTCTGATTCTGAGAATTTCCTTAATTTTTAGCCAGTTCAATCAATTAATTTTTTTTCAGATTTTATACAGCATTCTCTGTGTCGAGGATTAGCTGAATATCTGGACAGCCCTATTGCCAGCAGGCAAGCCTACCTATGATGTCTCTACCGCTCTTTGCTTTGCTTTCATTAATTTAATTTTTTATCTCCTACATACTTTGTGCATGCATCCTGAGTTTTCACTTTACTCAATGCAGCAGTATTCTGGGGAAGATGCTCTATCTGCGGCAAAAGGCAGACTGTGATAGCTGCTTACGCCGCTGCCACCAATTTAACAATACGAAACATCGGTATGATCACGCCATCCTATTGAAACGGTCAGCAATTCTCCATCATCCATCATCTTTCTTTGCCCAGATGTTCTAGGTTCTCCATCTCATTGCCCACTTCTCCCCAGCATGCACCTTCCTCCCCATCAGGTCCATCTTTCCATCTGTTTTATCTTTCCATGTGAAAATTCAACTAATTGAACATTTGCCAGGTATCTATCACTTGCCAAGTGTTATGCCAGAGACTGGGGATATAATATGAACAAGGCACGGTCGTCACCTTTGAGGACTCATCTGGAAAGGTGAGCAGGTGCACTATGGTGCTAGCTACCAACACTGCTAGGTGACGGGAGTGGGTGGGAAGGGCCCAGAGAGGTGAATTAAGGGCCAGATAGTGAAGGTCCTTGTATGTCAAGCTACATAATTTGATTTTTATTATCCAACAAGGGATATAATAAGATCTCTGTTTTTGGAAGAGAGTAAAGAGGCCAGAGGCAAAGAAACTAATCAGGGGCTGTTGTAAGAGTCCAAATGAGAGATGAGGGGGATCTGAACACTGGCCCTGATCCCTTCCTTCTTTGAACTTATTACCACACCTTTGAGAAATTACTTAAATGTTACCTTGCACTATATTATTAAAATAGATCTCTATTACAGCTTTTATCACACTGTATCGAAAGAGCTGATTATCTTATTTTTCTTTTCTATGTCTCATTTGTCCACATGCAACTACACCTAACCCAATTCCTGGTATACAGGACATATTCACTCTATCTTTATTGAATGAATAAATACACCATTATCTTCAGTTCAGGTGTTACCTGCCCAACCAGATAAAAATCCTCAGAGAAAGGGAAACTACTTACTCTTCTTAGATATTGCCTAACATGATGATGACGACAGAGATTCTCAATCAATAGCCAGTCAATTAAACATAGCTGGAAAGCCCTTCAGGAGGTCAGGTTTTCCAGCTGTAACACTCTCTAGAATCATGTTGCAGGTGCAGAAAGACCAGGCTTAGAATGTCACTGATCCCCTGGCAACTCCCCAGTACTCACACCCAAGAACAGTAATAACATTTCCTCGATAACGATATTTGAAAATACCTCGCCAATAGCCTTGATCTTGTCGAGGCAGTTCCTCATGGCCACGCTGTCGGCATTCCTGAGGGTCCCCTCTTCCTCCAGGGAGGCCAGGTAAATGAGGGTTTCGCTGCCATACTGCTTACAGGCCTCGGTCAATGCTGGAGATGCAAAGTGACAGAGACTCTTAAAGGCCCTCTGTTCCCCCTACTTTCATGAATGCCCCTCCCCTGGTACTCACAGTCGGCAGGCTCTGGCGGGGCTCTAAGGCTGGTGGTACTGCCATAAGCCAGGGTGTCACTGGTCAAGTGGGCAAGCAGTGTTACTGAGTGCAGAAGCCCACTGATATCTGCCAGGGGTGGAAAGGACAGTTTCTCAGGCCTGGTTGAGGGTGTCACTTTCGTACCCCCTTATGCCCTGCTTTCTGAATTATACACACTCCCTTCTTGATGCACAGGAACCTGCCACTGTTTCCATATTCAACCATTTCTGAACCCCACTCAGCCATCACCAAGGACAGAATCTATCCTTTGCCCTTCTTACCTTCTGGGCAGGCCAGATACTGGCTTCGGCTTTTTTCAAGTTTCTCAATGCAGCTGGAAACAGACTTGACCGTGGAGAGAAGGTGATCTGTGAGAGGGAAGACAGGACAATGTCAGGGGGAGACTTCTCATAGCCCGCTTCATCCTTGTGAGTTAAGCCGCTGGATGGAATGGCTTACCTAGTGAGCAATCCCAGTCCTGCAGGGGAGGCCAAGCTAGGGGAAGGGAGGAAATGCTGGCTACACTGTACCGATGTGATGTGCATGATTCTCTTACTAGAGCTTCAAAAGCTTCTGGGTCTGTTTGGTCCCTTAGCCAAGAACAAGGCAACTGCACCACCAGCCTTTCCTGTGAAGCCTTTCAAGGTCCTTTGGGTCTCACTGCTTTTGAGCCCAGACCTTTGGCTCTCTTTGTCTAGTCTATGATCATGCTGTGCACACAACAGTCACTCCTGCTGCTGTGCCTCTGACCACAGACCCACAGAGACCGTCCAGTGTAGGGTTTAAGAGGATAGCCTCCCAAGCCCAGGCATGGCTCCTGCCTCTACTGTTCCCGGCTGTGTCATCTCGGGCTGTCCTGCCTGTTTCCTCATCTGAAAACAGGGGAATGGCAGGGCCACCCCATGACAACACTGTGAGGATTAACTGGGCCAAGGCACATAGGAAACGCTCAGTAAATGTTGGCTGTTTTTATTATTACTCTCCCTCTTTCCTTCTCTCCACCAGTTCATTTCTCTCCTTGTCTTTCAAAACCCAGCTCATAACATCTCAGAACCTGCCCCAGCCGCCCGTTTCTGGCATGCCCTCTGGAAGTTAGGTAAGTGGCATGCTCCCTCATTTGTAACTAATGCTGTGCATCTTTATAGATGGCTTTCGGGCTGAATAAGCTGTAACAGTCCTTGCTGTTCACTTCATCAAATCAGGACCTCTCCACTCGGTAATAAAATCGACTGTCAGCTGTTTCCTCCCTTCTGCTTCCTCCTTCAATGAGACCTCTTGTCACTTTGCCAGTGTGCCGTCTTGGCTTTAAAATGAGTTGTAATGAGATCTGTTCCTGGCTACGTTCATGGGCTCACAAATCCCCGATGCCAGTGCACTCCTGCTCCTACCTACTGTGCACAGAGGCCCTCCTCTTCCTGCCTCGATTCAGACCACAGTTTTCTCCTTAGAGAGACACGGAACTGTCTGCTCCTCCTCCTGTTCACCTGCACAATTGTTTCAGGTTTCTGCTCCCAGGGGATGTTTCCTCAGTGCGACCCACTGACTAAGCAATAGCCATCATACCTGGGCGCTTTAGAAAATACTACTGCCCGGGTCCTATGCCCCAGAGCGACTGATTGAACTGATTTAGGAGAGAGCCTGGGCATCCCTAAGGGATTCTGACATGCAGCTGGGCTGAGAATCCTGAGCTAAGTTTCATAGGGGATTCAACACCAACAGATAACACCAAGCTGGGAGGATTTGTAACCCGCATGCCAGGCAACTGGAAGAGTACCTGCAGATCCAGCACAGCTGATGAGAGTGGGTTCCTCAAGCTGGCTTAAGGCCTCACGTATCACCTGCTCCGCAGCCTTCCTGGACTCCACCAGAAGTGTTTTCTGTTGTTGCTTTGCAAGCTGGCACACAGATTCCTAGAAATGGTCCAGGGAGATGAGTCTGCCACAGACCCCACAATGAGCCCTGAGTAGCCTCCACCTGTGATCTAGCTGGGATTCCTGGCATCTTAAGTTGTCGCTAAAGAGTCTGCCACAGACACCATAATGAGCCCTGAACAGCATCCACATGTGACCTAGCTAGGACTCCTGGCATCTCAAGTCGTTGCTAATGAGGTCCAAGCCAGCTGGCTTGACACAGAGAGACACACTTTAACTTTGTCCACAGGTGTGTGCTGCTGAGCATGGGCAACTCTGGGGAGGGACCTGCAGCCTATACCCACTCCTGGTGAGAGCACGCCAGGTGCTCCCTTCTCATACGAGACAGAGATGCTTTGCTTTCCCTCATGGGCTCCATGGGTGACATGTGGGCATTAGCAGCTGTGCTACGGATGCCTTTGTAACCAGGCCAAAGGCCTCACGCCCGGTCACAGTCCCACCCCTCCTGCCTCCATGTTAGCACCGGGGCGGTATGATTCCACAGCTGATCAGCCCGACTGGGTGTCTGTGACTTGCCTGTGCACTGGCCAGCTTGAGCTGGGTGTGTTCCAGCTGTTCCTGAAGAGCAGAGAGTTCCTCCTCCCGATGAGCCGCCACACTCACCAAGCTGTCACGCTCTGTCTCTAGCTCAGTGACCTGGGTTGTCCACTTTGCTTCTGACTGCAATGGTGACCACAAGGGAAGTGGGAGATGCTGGGAGAATTAAACTGTCCCCTTCCCAGTGGTCCAAACCCACCACCTGGCCACAAGGAACAGGAGGTCATCTCTCTTCAACCTGCCACATTCATTCCCCTGAGCACACACTGATTGCAGATGGGGCCAGCACGGCCATGTGCAGGATGCTGGGTGACCAAAAAACTGAGCCAGAGGGATATCAAGAAAGGAGGTGCTCACCTGGGCAGACGTTTCCAGGCTGCCTTGAAGGACCTGGAGCTCCTGTTTGCTGGTGGCAAGTTCTTGCTTCAAGCTCTCTAGAACTTCCAGTTGTTCTTGAGTCTAAAAGAGAAGAAAAATGAAGGACTCTGAACCGGGTGGTGGTTACAAGGAATGAAGAAGTGTAAAAATTCCCCAAGCTATCGATGTGAGACGTGTATGCTCTACTGTATGTCAGCTTTACTCCAACCAAAAGTGGTGGGGTGGGGACGTGAGACCCCAGAGTGTACTAAAAAGTTTTCTTCTGGCTAGGCAGAATGTCAAGGGAGGAATTTTTAGGGACATTTTTCAAATGTCATGCTTGAGCCCATGATACTAAAGTCAAACCAGATATTTAAGTCAGGCATCCTAATACTGGCATACTGCTGAATTACGGCATCTCACCATGTTGAAATCATTCCCTTTCTTTGATTTCTTTTCTCAGTGATGTTTTTCAAAGAGTGGTTTGTGACCCACTAGTAAGAATTCACAGCCAACACTTTTTAAAAAGAGGATTAAACAGAATAGAAACTATCTGAATGCCTTTGCATGGTAAGGATAAGATGACTTGGTAAAATGTTTATGTCCATTAGATAGATGTACTTTTCACTCTGGGTCACAGAAAAGTGTGAAAGCCACTCCTCTAAAGTCTGAGATGTTCAGTTCCATCTATCCGACATCTCTTACTCCCCACTTTAACCTCTGACCTGCCATGCCCACCCCACGTGGTGTTCTGGCTGCAAGGCTTTGCCAATCCTCATCCCTCTCTCTCTCTGATCCACGTGCTTTCCCTTCCTCAGACTCTCCTTGAGCCTTGCCCTTGGAAAGCCTTTGCTGATTAACCTACTCAACTTGAGTCCTTTCATTACTTCATGGTCCTAACCCATGCACACACTGGTGACCGTGTCCTGACCGACCCACAGAACTGCCCACGGAGCAGGAGACGACAAAGTCCTCGGACTTGTGCAGATGGTGGATCTCTAGCTCTGCAGACTCCTCCTCATTTCCCAAGTGCTTCTCCTTCCACTCACTTTCCGCTGGGCCTGCTCACTTATGCGTTCCAAGGAACCCTCCAGCTCTTTTTTCTCTCGTTCCAAATCCACCTGGGCTTGTCTGGCCACAGACACCTGTTTGGTCACCTCTGCATTCTGTAAGGGAAGAACGGTACCTTGAATGGGCTGATCTCAGGCTTAAAGGACATCTGCCTTCTAGAATAAATGATTGCATTCAGACTGTGACTGCCCTGGAATTGGACAGAGGAATTCTTTCCTACTCGGAAGGAAGCCAGAATAAAGTTCTCGCCTTCAGATACTTGGCTCTCAAGTATTTGCAGAAATAATAACAGTGGTGGGTAATCTAAGTGGGGCTGGCCCCTAAGGTGGCGCTCAAGCCACAGGAGGCAAGGGAGCTCGAAAACCTGGGGCTCCCAAGGCATGGGTGGCAACCCACTAGAAACTGGCGGAGGCGTTAAACCTGGAGATGCTGTGAGGCCTGAGCCAATACCTCCCCTGTGGCGTGGGGTCTGTAGGATGGCGACAGGGGGTTGAGGTCCTACCTTCCGCAGCAGGTCGGCATGGTTCTGAACCAGCTCGCTGTACTTCTCCTTTAGCTTGCTATACCGCTGTTCATTGGCTTGGGCCTTCCCTGTATCGTCAAGGACAAGGTGAGGAGTCTATGCTGGCTGGGACGCTCTGCCCTCCTTCCAATAAGTCAGGGTCCCTGGAAGATCCTCCTTTCTTTCTACAAATGCACATCGCTTCCTTGCTCTCGAAAATCCTACTTAAATCAACTTCTCTGGGAAGTGGTCTTTAAAAAAAAAGAACTCGCCTGATCGAAATTACTGCCCAGACTCATGCCTCCTCAGCATTTACACACATGCCATTCACTTTATCAGGGGTTCCAGATTTTATGTCAATTTCTTCTTTGGCCCTCCATCCTGTCTCCCTCTCCTCTGGCTCTCCACTGCCCCAGGCAGACAATGATTGGCATCGCCTGTGCCCACTGGACTCAGACCTGTCCCTGTGGCCGATGACAGGCACTGGCATTCCTGACAGCGCTCCTGGAAGGGCGTGAGGCTGGGGCTCTGCTGGCCAACCTTCAGCCTCCCTCCCGGGTCCAGCTAGACTCTGTCCTCCCCACCCCACCAGCCTCTCACTTTCTATCTCCGTGAGGCTCCGCTGAGCTTTCTCAGTGTCTTCTCGCTGCTTCTTGAGCTCATCCAGCTCTGCCCGGAGGAACTCGCAGTCGTCGGCCGCCTGCTGCCGCAGGTGCTGCTGCTCAGCTAGCTCAGCTTCCAGCTCGCTGATGCGGCCTTTCAACTGCAGCACGGCCCGCTGGCCCTGGGGGAGCAACTCGGGGAATGAGTCCAAACACTGCACTGCCAAGGGTTGGGACAACGGGGCCTACCACGCTGCCAGCACTGACCAAATGGACAGCGTCCCTAACAAGCCAACTCCTGAGGTCTCAGGAGAGTTGAGCCACCCAACCTACAAGAGGGGATGGTGGCAGGGGAGTTCTGGTCCTAGTTAGAGTGGCAGCAGTGGAGGAGCTGGGAGGAAGCAGGAGAGGATGCTGTGGCTGTCCCCGTGAGTAAAGTCTGAACAGCCACAGCTCTGAAGGGGAGTCACATACATAGCACCAGACACTGCACATAGCCATCAGAGTTCCAAACCAAACTCTTCTTTATCGCCAGGTAAGAAAAACTGGTCTTTCTCACCATGGCCTCCTAACCAAGTGGCAACCATGGTTATCTCTGGGTATCACAGTGAAACTGAAGTTTGGCTTAAATGTTGTTCTCAAGGTATGTACAATAAGAAAGCATTATAATAGAGACCATGGGAAAAGCAGGTGCTTTTGGCTTTGGCATTTCCACTAATTAACCAACCTTAGGATGTGGTCCAACAAGTATCTATGGGATATAAATTTAATATGACATGATTTTATGTAGAGAGAAACCTAAAGACTCTACCAAAAAATTCCTAGACCTGATAAATTCAATAAAGTTGGAGGATACAAAGTCAATATACAAAAATCAGTACCATTTCTATACGCCAGTAATAAACTTGCAGAAAAAGAAACATGTCCCATTTACAACAGCAACAACCACCAAAAAATATCTAGGAATAGGGCCAGCCCGTGGCTCACTCGGGAGAGTGTGGTGCTGATAACACCAAGGCCATGGGTTTGGATCCCTATATAGGGATGGCTGGTTAGCTCACTTGGGAGAGTGTGGTCCTGACAACACCAAGTCAAGGGTTAAGATCCCCTTACCGGTCATCTTTTAAAAAAAATAAAAAACAAAAACCTAGGAATAAATTTAACCAAAGCAGTGAAAGATCTCTACAAGGAAAGCTATAAAACACTGATTACAGAAACTAAAAAAGACACACAAATGAAAAGACATACCATGTTCATGGATTGGAAGAATCAATATCATCAAAATGACCAGACTATGCAAAGCAATCTACAGATTCAATGCAATCCCCATCAAACTACCAATGACATACTTCACAGAAACAGAAAAAACAATTCAAAAATATATATGGAACAACAAGAGACCCCAGATAGCCAAAGCAATCCAGAACAAAAAGAATAAAGTAGGGGATGTCATACTCCCTGACTTCAAAATGTACTACAAAGCTATCATAATCAAAACAACAATGGTACTGGCACAAAAACAGACACACAGACTAATGGAACAGAATAGAGAATTCAGAAATAAATTCACTTACCTACAGCTAACTAATTTCTGACAAAGGAGCCAAGAACCATAAATGGTGCTGGGAAAATTGGAGATCCAAATGCAGAAGAATGAAACTAGACCCCTAACTCTCACCACATACCCAAATCAACTCAAAACAGAATAAATACTTAAATGTGAGACACAAAACTATAAAACCTCTAGAAGAAAACATAGGGGAAACACTTCAGGACATAGGTCTGGACAAAGATTTTATGAATAATACTTTAGAAGCACAGGGAACAAAAGAAAAAAATAAACAAATAGGATTATATCAAACTAAAAGCTTCTGTACAGCAAAGGAAATAATCAACAGAGTGAAAAGACAACCTACAGAATGGGAGAAAATATCTGCAAATTATGCATCCGACAAGGGATTAATATCCAGAATATACAAAGAACTCAACAATAGTTAAAAAAAAAATAATCCAATTGAAAAATAGGCAAAGGAACCGAACAGACATTTTTCAAAAGAAGACATACAAATGGCCAATGGGTGTATGAAAAAATGCTCAACATCACTAATCATCAGACAGATGCAAATCAAAACCACAATGAGATATCATCTCACCCCAGTTAGACTGGCTACTATCAAAAAGACAGAAGATTATAAATGCTGGGGAGGATGTGGAGAGAGGGGAAGTCTTAAACATTGTTGGCAGGAATGTAAATTGCTGCAGCCACTATGGAAAACGGTATGGAGATTTCTCAAACAGCTACAGTTAGAACTACCATATGTTCCAGCAATCCCACTGCTGGGTATATACCCAAAGGAATGGAAATCATCATGGAGAAGGGACACCTGCACTCCCATGTTTATCACAGCTGTATCTACCATAGCCGAGAGTGGAGCCAACCTAAATGTCCTTCAATGGATGATTGGATAAAGAAAATATGGTATATATACACAATGGAATGCTATTTAGCGAAAGAAGAATGAAATTCTGCCATTCATTGCAACATGCATGAGCTTAAAGAAAATTATGCTAAGTGAAATAAGCCAGGCACAGAGAAAGAAATATATGTTCTCATTCATATGTGAAAGCTAAAAAGGTTGATCTCACAGAAGTAGAAAATAGAATTGTGGTTACTAGGGATTGGTGGGGGGAAAGGGAGGAGGGATGGGGTGAGGGTGATCAGTGAATACAAAATAGCAGAGATAGGAAGAATGGGATCTAGTGTTCTATGGTAACATAGGGAGACTACAGTCAATGACAAAGTGCTGTGTATCTTTGAATAGCTAGTTGGGATGATGTTGAATGATCCTAACACAAACAACTGTTTGAGGTGATGGGTATATTAAGCACCCTGATATGATGACTGCATGCAGTATGAATGTATCCAGATATCATACTGCACTCCATAAATATATGCAATTATCATGGATCAATTAATAAAAACAAATTAAAAAGAGAAAAAAAGAGAGAAAAAGTAGAATAGTGGTTACCAGAGACAGGGAAAGGGAGGCGGTTGGGAAAGGTTGGCAGACTGGTACAAAGTTGCAATTAGACAGGAAGCATAAGTTCTGGTGCCCTAGACAATAGCTAATAATATTGTATTGTATATTTCAAGACAGCCAGAAAAAGAGGAACTTCAATGTTATAACCACAAAGAAATGATAAAAGTTTAGGGAATAGATATGCTAACTATTCTTTTTTTTTTTTTTTTTTTTTTTTTTTTTTTTTTTTCCGGGCCCAGAAACGGATCCCAACCCCCCGGTTTGCCCCCGTACCGGACCGGGGACCGGCAACGGGATCGCAAGCCTCGGTGTTGCTCCCGTGCCTCGCTCAGCCAGTGAGCGGGAACCGGTCTGTATGTGGGATCCGAACCCTCGGACGGGAGCGCCGCCGCGCTTCCCAAGCGGCGCACTATCCAGTGCGCCACCGGGCCGGCCCGATATGCTAACTATTCTTTTTTTTTTTTTTTCTTTTGTCTTTTTTTTCCGTGTCCAGCAACGGATCCCAACCCCCCGGTTTGCCCCCGTACCGGACCGGGGACCGGCAACGGGATCGCAAGCCTCGGTGTTGCTCCCGTGCCTCGCTCAGCCAGTGAGCGGGAACCGGTCTGTATGTGGGATCCGAACCCTCGGACGGGAGCGCCGCCGCGCTTCCCAAGCGGCGCACTATCCAGTGCGCCACCGGGCCGGCCCGATATGCTAACTATTCTTTTTTTTTTTTTTTCTTTTGTCTTTTTTTTCCGTGTCCAGCAACGGATCCCAACCCCCCGGTTTGCCCCCGTACCGGACCGGGGACCGGCAACGGGATCGCAAGCCTCGGTGTTGCTCCCGTGCCTCGCTCAGCCAGTGAGCGGGAACCGGTCTGTATGTGGGATCCGAACCCTCGGACGGGAGCGCCGCCGCGCTTCCCAAGCGGCGCACTATCCAGTGCGCCACCGGGCCGGCCCGATATGCTAACTATTCTAATTAGATATACGATATATGCATGTATAGAAACAACAAACTGTACCCCATAAACATGTACAATGAAAAAAATAAAAATAAGATAATAAAATTGGCCACGTTTTGGTAAAGCACAAAAGCATCTCAGATCCCAATGCATACCTCAGTCTTCACGTTTTCCAGCTGCGTCTTCAGCCCACTGATCTCTCTGTAGAGCTGCTCGATTAAGTGGTCCCTGGGAAGAGAAGGAGAAGGGTCTGCCTGCACTGAACTTCTACCTTCTCCTTCTAAATGCAAGCTGGGAGATGAGGGGAGGGAGTTAAAGCTGGTGGTAATTTGGGGAAAATTCTTTGAAACTCCATAAATTATACTCTAAGTGCTACCAGAAACTAATATCCACAGGTCCACAGTTATTGATTTTCTTCTGGGATTAAAGGACCAATATTTGAAGGTCAAGACATTCTTCATCTAAGAAGCCCATGTGCCATTAAGAATTCCTCTTTGGTTGGGTGTTGCGAGGCAGACCAGGGCTTAATTCGGTTTCTGCGTCATCTGCTTGAACCCAGCCTGGACTCACTTCTCATCCTTGTTCACACCGTTCTGACTGTTGAAATTGAAGGGATCACTGCTGAATGAGCTGCCAAAGATGTCATCAAACTTGTTGTCAAATAAATTCTGCGGTAATCAGGAGGGAATGAGAACAAGTTAGAGATCCACAGAACGCTGCGTGTGGGTGAAATGAATGACATCTAAGAATGTCCCCTTTCTTAATTTGGTCCAGATCCATCTATGAGCTCTCCAGGAACCACAGAGCATCGTGCTCAGTCTAGGTCAGTGTTTGGTTAGGAGGAGGTTGAACCTGGTTAGAGCCAATGAGCCTTGGCCAGGGCCTCTCCCATTGTCTCCCCTGCACTTGGCAGTAGTGGGAAGGGCCTAGTTCTCTCCCAAGTGGTCCTCACCTGCTGGGAGGCATCCATGTCCATGAGGTCATCCTTCTCTAAGACTGGCTCGCTGTCAGGGGACGAGGCCTCGGCTGGGATGACCACCACGGGGCTGATGTGTTCTGACAGGGCAGAGGCTCGCAGGAAGTTGGGTGGGTTCTGAAGAGGGGAGATACATCCTCAAACTCACCCGCCAGCCTTGCCAGCTTTTCAGAGAGGACGTTGGGACTCCGCAGTGCCCAAGGTGTGGCCGGGTACACTCACCTCAGGCAGCTGGGGGATCTGAATGAGTCGCTTGAAGTACTGTAGGTTGCTGGAGCGGTAGAACAGATCTTTCAACCTAGGAGTGGAGCAGGGCCTGAGGGGTGCTGGGTGCCTGCACTAGCCCCCATCAGGGGACAGAGCAGCCACCCAGCTTTCCTAATCCCTACCTGGCCCAAAGGCACAGGCTGTCATGGAGATGGCTCCATGGTGCTAGGATTTAATTATGATGTTACAGAGAAGGGTCACTGACAGCCAGGCCTCAGTTGACTGGTGGTGAGGGAAGCATAATTATGCCACAAATCCTTGGGAAGAGCAGACAGTCCAAAAACTAATTTCTTCATCACTGTGGAATATACGTTGTTGTTTTGCAGATTATCTTTCTAGGAGCATTTGGCTGAGAGTAACATTAAAATAAACGTACTGATGGCCAGTTAGCTCATTTGGGAGAGCATGGTGCTGGTAACACCAAGGTCAAGGGTTTGGATCCCCTTACCACCCAGCTGCCAAAAAAAATAAAAAATTAAATAAAATAAATGTACTTTCTCTGAAGATAAGCCAACTAACCACAGAAAAAATGAAGGGAACTTAATTACTAAGGGATATCTCATTTTAATTGATTCAATTTATTTTTGAGCTACTTGTTATCTCTCCACTAAGATTATAAGCTTCTAGAAGGCAGGGGCCCTGTTAGGCCAGGTATACCAAAGTACCAGGCATACAGGAGTCACTCAGTAAACACTTGTTGGAGAATAACTATCTCTCTAGGCTGGGCCCTAATCTCAGCTGAATATGGGCATGAAGTAACCAACACTTTTTTTTTCTCATTCCCAAATCTCTATTTTGAATGTAGATGCCGAAGACCAAAAAACATGAGCGCATCCAGACTTAGATATTCTGGGATGAAAAAAGAGGATCATGGATCTCAGCACCCTCTACCTGCAACACAGAATTTTCTCTAGCTCAGCCCAATAAACTAAACCCCCAGGGTCTCATTAGTCTTTCAGACCCCACAAAGTAACCATCCCTGTGATGTCACAGCTGCTTTCCCTGAATTCAATGACTGAGAGACCTCTAAGTGTGGCCATGTCTATGCAGCAAAGAAAGGGAGGTGGCTGCTCAGGGGAGGTGTTTTCATAAGCTAGAAAAAAATGAAAGGAAATAAAACCACCTGACCACACATCCCTGTCTTTCTGGGCTGGAGCCAACAGTAATAGACTCTACTGCTTTCACAAGCTACTGGAATTTAACATTCCAGGAAATCAGCCCCAGGGCCTGTCTCCTAGGATTTAATAAGTCATTTATTATAGAATACATACAAGGCTTCTCAAAGGAAATGTGGAAACCAAGAGGTTAGTACAACCCTGCATTTGTCCTTTGACTGCTGCTGGGGAACTGGCAAGAGAAGCCTGAACTCAGGATTCAGGAGCTATGGTCAAGGATAAAGAAATTAACAGGAAAAACAAGAGGGTTGAAACACACAGTGCTCAGCCAGGATGTCTTCTCAGCTCCCCCAGTCCTCCCGTCTCTCTCTATTTCTATATTTCTCCTCTTCTTGGACACACGCACCTGAAGGATGAGCTGTACTTCTCATCTGGTCACCAATTTTTTTCTCCCAAATGCACCAAGAAAATTTACTCCTCAGCCGGACAAGTTCTTTCTCTCCTAGACTAGACAGTTGGCTTATTAGCTCATTGGTTCATTCAAACATTTATGGAGCACTGTCTGCTTAACTGACTGCTATGTGTCTGGTGCTGGAGATTTAATCATGGACAAGACGGTCAAACAGAAATGATGCTGTGCTAAGAACCAGGAAGAATGTAAACAGGGTGCTGTGATAGCAAATTAGGGGGTGGGGTAGGGCTGGAGGAACAGAAGATGGGGAGGAAGACCTGACTTAAGTAAGGGGGCCAGAGACTGCCTTTCTGAGTGGGTGACAAGAGATGAGCTGGAGCTGGTCAGGCTGGGAGAGGCGCATCTGAGGGAAAGGGAGCAGCAAGCTCTAACGCCCTGGTGGAGGAATGTGTTGGGTGTGTTTCAGGAACAGACCGAAGACCCCAAGTTGCTTACACACTGTGAGCAATAGAGACAAGGTCAGAGACAGCAGGCAGGGGCCAGAACACGCAGGACCCTGTAGACCACCTTGCAGAGCTTAGATTTTATTCTAAGTGTAACCAGAGCCATTAAAAGGTTTTGAGTGAGGGATTTGCATTTTCCAAAGTTGTTCTATCTGCTGGGAGGACTGGATTGCAGGGGGCAGGAGAGGAGACCCAGGAAATCAGGTCAATATTGGATGGTCCTGGCAGGCGGCAAGGGTAGCTGTGGAGATGGAAATGTGGACAGAACGAGACACAACTGTAGGGTATCCACTGAACTTGCTAATGGATTGGACATGGTGAGGTCCAATCTCCAGCCTAAACGGGTGATGGCGGCATTGACTGAGATAGAAAAGACTGGGGAGAGAAAGGTCATTTTTTTTTGGAAAACTTAGAGTTCAGTTTGAGATTTAAGTCTGGTGTACAGATGTCATATTGGGTATGTGAGACTAAATTTTAGGAGGCATGTCCGGCTAGAGATACATGTGTGGGTACTTCGAAATGTTTGTGGAAAAATAGAATTAAAAGATAATACAAATCCTTCCATGAACTTTTTGAAGACATCACACTTGTACTTAGGGGCTGGTGGCATGAAAATGGTATAAGACCAGGAGAACTTAGGGAGAGGACAAAGAGAAGAGGATCCCAGGCACAAAGTGGGTGATTAATGAATGCATTAAATCTCTTTCTTCTGTACGCTTCTGTGGGATTTATTAGAGAACTGATAGCTTCCCCAGCCATTGGTAGGTTTGCTGCTGTCCTAGCTATTTTCTGTCACTTTTATCGGCTTAAAATGCAGATAACCTCAATCCTCAAGCATGTGAAAGCAAGTGCTCTCGCGTAGATTAACCGATTTTATGCACTTTTCAATTCGCCTTCGTTCATATCACTTCAGCCCTTACTTTGTGAACTGTTCCATGAAGCGGTCCCGGTGGCCTTGCAGGGTGTCAGCTGGGAGACCTGGAAGAAATTGGAAAGAGTGTGAGGGAGGAGGAGAACCAGAGTGCAGGCAAGCCACAACAGGGCTTTGGAGGGGGGGGATCAGCCATCCTGGGGCATGTGGCCAGCCCTGCCAGGGGACAGTCTTGGCCCAGAGCTGCCCCAATGACTAGTAACCAATGAAGCCCGGCAGGACCAGCAGGAGTATGGGGACGCTTATTCTCCAAATCTTTCCATTTCAGTTTGCTCCTGAAAGATGAGCCATTCTGGGCTCAGTGGGATGGACATTGTGTCCCTGAGCACAGAAGGAGGGGTGACCTGACCAAGTAGCAGGAGGGACCAACAGGCCCCTGGAGGGGTTGGCTCTCTCCCAGGTGTTGTATGCACTTGTTTTAGGGTGAGGCTCAGGGCTGATGTTAGTCTGGAAGAGGTGCAGAGGGCCTGCCTAAGAGGATGCCGTCAGGAGGCAAAGAACACGGGATTTAGACTAAGGGATCTAGGCTCCAGGCCCCACTTGGTTACTATCTGACTCTACGATGCTGCACAAGCAGCAACCACTTAGGGCCAGCCTCCTCCCCTGCAGAGCTGGTTCTCTGAGGCCTGCTTCCCTCCCAGATTGCGTGAGTCTGTGGATTTCAGTTATAAATCACAACTCAGCAGTCCCTTTAGTTCTTTTATTTTTTAAGTTCAAATTTTAGTTATTTTTTTATGGATGATACACATTCATTCAGTGTAAATATGTATGAGCCATGATCATTCAAAGTGGCAAAAGTGGACAGTGGGTGGAAATGGCACTTAACCTCTCAGTTCTCTCTCCTAAGAATCTTTACCCCAGTCAAATCATGAGAAAAAAATCAGAAAAAAACAAATTGAGGGGCACTGTACAAAAAACTTAATCAGTACTCAAAACTGTCAACGTCATCAAAAGTGAGGAAAGTCTGAGAAGCTGTCACAGCCAAGAGGAGCCTAAGGAGACATGACAACTAAGTGTAATGGTGTCATGGATGAGATCCTGGGACAGGAAAAGGACACTAAGCACACACTGTGGAATTCTGAATAAGGTATGAACTCTAATTAATACTAAGGTATAAATACTGGTTCATTAGTTGTGAAAAATGTATCATACTAATAGACTAACAGTAGGGGACACTGGCTATGGGGTAGATGGGAACTCTCTGCACTGTCTTTGTAAATTTTCTGTAGATCTAAAACAAAAATAAATGTTTATTTTTTGAAAAGTATATAGTGTATAGAGTCCCTCCTACCCTTTCCCCAGACATACAGGCTCCTGCCCAGAGGTAATCCACGTAGGTCTCGTGTACTACCCTGCCTTTAAAGGCCTTTAAACGCAAATACTTAATTACCTGCCTCTTCTCATAACTCATCACTCTCTAAGGAGGTGGAGATGTTCTACGGGGCAATGTGTTCTGGAGATCCTTAGAAACAACTGAAAGTTCACCAGTATCTAGTGCTTCTTTTTTTTTTTTTAAAAGATGACTGGTAAGGGGATCTTAACCCTTGACTTGGCGTTGTCAGCACCACGCTCACCCAGTGAGCGAACCGGCCATCCCTATATGGGATCCGAACCCGTGGCCTTGGTGTTGTCAGCACCGCACTCTCCCGAGTGAGCCACGGGGCCGGCCCAATAGTATCTAGTGCTTCTAAGCAGCTGTTTCCCTTCTCCTGGGATTTAGTCCACCCTCATGGCTCCTTCCAGGCATGCCTACTTGCTCCAAAGCCTTTCTAATCCTTGAACAGCAAATTCCAATCTCCCTTCCATGAAACCAACTTGGACTAATCAGTGATGCTGCTTCCCTTGTCCTAAATAACCAGATTCATTACTTGTCAATGACCACAGTTGTAGGGGATCACTTGTCCTATACTACTGTGCTGTAAAACCTTGCTCATATCCACTCATGTCTTCATTTTTCTTAAGTTTTCCATCATCCACACACTTTGCCTGTGTACATCCTTCATGGTGGCCACCTCACAGTGTGGCCCAGGGACCACCCACATCAGATTCATCTGGGCATATGCGTTTAACAGTGCAGACCCGAACCCTACCAGACCTGCTAAAGTAGACCCCACAGAAGCAGGACACAGACATATCCTTTTAAACAAGAAACACACAAAAGCATAAGAAGTTTTGTGAGACCAGTAGTTTCCAAAACATTATATTCTGCTAAGGGCACCCCGGAGATATGCAGCTAGGTAAGAAACAACCCTCCATCTGCTTGAGCAGCTCTGTTTAATATTTTATATTTCTCCATAAAATTCCATTTGAACAAAGGGATTGTGTTGATAAATGGTTTGGAAACCACTGGCTTAGCTCATGTGGGTCTGGGCCAGGTCTGTTGTTATTTGTGTGGTTCCCAGAATACAGAACACACTTGGTGGATGATGACATGCTAAAGCTGGTGGTGGACAGAGAGAACCACCCTGGGACACGACTACAGCAAGTCAGCTGCTTCACCAGGCATACCAAAGCTCGGGCCCTGCTCTGCTGTTCTCATGATGGTCAGCAGCTCCAGGGCCTTTGGGAACAGAAGCAGAAAGCCAAGGCACTGAGAAGGGCTGCGTTCCTCCAGGGACATCCTAAGGCTGTGATCTCCCTCTCGCCTGAAGCTCCCAGAAGATTTGGCCTGGTATACTCACAGGAGTGGAGTTTGAAGAGAAGCTTGACAGTGTAATCATAGAGGTGGCTACAGTCCAATATGACCTGGATCAGTGGGGCCAGACGGCACTGCCCAGCTGTTGTCACTGACACAGAGCGGGACATGTCCAAGGAGTTGAACACTAGGAAATAAAAGAGCGAGAAAGGCAGTGGAGCTAAGAAATTACAGGCGACCTCTCCCAAGGAGCACGGGCAGGAGCCTGACATACTCTAAGGACTATTCTGTGCATGCATCGCCTCCTTTCATTCATCTAACCCTTGCAACGCTCCTGAGAAAGGCAAAGGTACCCCCATCACACAGGTGAAGAAACAGAACATAAGTAACATAAAGGCAGTCACAAAGCCAAGAAGCTTTATTGAGAGGTGGTGAGTTAAGACTCCCCAGAGAGCCCATGAGGCCAACAGTGGCCAAACCAGGCCCCTTTCCTTCTGATGTCAAGATGTTTGGTGTGTCATGAACAGGTGAGCAGGCTCCACTTTGTGCAGAGCCCTGTGACAGCCTGGGAAAGAAGAGATTTGCTCATAACCTGGGAGAGCTCCTAGAATGGAGAATTCCTTCCCTCCCATCTCAGGAGCTTCACAGTCCCTGCCCTCAGTCTGATCAGAAAGACAGAACACATCACCTTTTACAGTTTTTTATTTAATGGGGAGATGAGTTATTATTTAAGGAAAGCCCTCAGTTTTATGGGGAATCAGAAATTCAGGACTGAAAGGGGCTGCAGAAATGGCCAATCCAGCCCTCCCTCTCATGCATGAACTAAGTCTGTGCATGGAAATCTCTGACCTCCAGAAGCACCAACCCCGGTGGTGGTGTAGTTAACTTGTAGGAAAAGTATCAAACACTGATCAGTAAATGAAGAAGGGAATCATCCAGCCATGGCTTCCTGTTGGTTTGCTACAGGGGTTCTTGGAACACCAGGAGTGGGTGGCATGTGCAGGAGCTGGGGAGACTGGAGATCCAATGAGGGCCAAGGCCAGGGGCTGGCAGCAGGATGACTGATCAGGAACACAGGCTGATGCAGGTGCTTGGGGGAGCCAGTCAACAGAAGCACCGCCCTCCACTCTCCAGAGTCCAGAGAGGAAGCTGCTCCTTAAATTTCTGGCTCCAGGGGTCCTTCCACATTAACTCCCTGTCCCAGATCCTAGACTGAGCAACCAGAAGCCTGGCCGTGGACCCTCAGCTCATACCACTGGCCAGGGCTGACTTTCCCTCTTGGCTGCTCACTGCCTCTGGAGGCTCCACCTGTGGCAGGCAAGGAAATGACTTTCCCTGCAGTCCCTCTGTGAGTGGAACTGCCCCAGATGGAAGCCCAGAGCTCGTGCACGCTGCCTCCCCAAGACGGCACTAATCCCTGGTAACTGGGTTAGTTTGATGACTGAAAAAAATACCAAACTGTTCTAATTTAAAAGGAAGCTTTTCTTCTTGAAACAAATTAAAAGCAGCTGACACTGCAAGGCAGCCATCCCAAAGACTACTGGCTTGCTTGGGTTCCACTCTGGCAAGGAACCACAGACTGCTCCAGCTCCTGGCCTGCCCGCTGCTTTCCTGATGCCTTCCAGTGCTTTCCCCTTGGCACCCAGTAACATCTACAGCAGTGTGACCATGGACAAGTTGCTCAACCTCTCTGTGCCTCAGATGCTCTTCTGTAAAGCACAGATGGTTATATCAGCACATACCTCACAAGGGTCTTGTAAGACTTAAATGCCACCGTCCTATAAAGTGAATAGCACTGTGCAGTAATTTTCAACCCTGGCTTTGAGACGGATTAGGATCACCTGGGGAAACCGAAAAACTAATGTCTGTCTGCAACTCCCCCATGCCCCCATTCTATTTTAATTGGTTAGGGGTAGTGCTGGGGCATTTGTAGTTTTCAAAAGCCCTCCAGGAGATTCTAATATGCAGCCAGGATTGAAAACTATATTTCCTAGCTCAGTGGTTGTCAAACTTTAGCATACATCAGAGTCGCCCAGAGCAGTGCTGTCCAATAGGATTCTGTGATAAAGGGAATGTTCTACATGCGCTATCCAATATGCTAGCCACGTGTGGCTACCTGAAATATACCTGAAATATGACTAGTGCAACTAAGGGCCTGACTTTTAAATATTATTTAATTGTAATCAATTTAAACAGTACATATGGCTCATGGCTACCATGTTGGACAGCGCAGACCTAGGAGGCTTTGCTAAAACACAGGCTGCTGGGCCCCACCTCCAGAGATTCTGATTCAGCAGGTTTGGGGTGGGGCCGTGACTTTGCATTTCTAGCAAGTTCCCAGGGGATGCTGCTGCGGCTGTATAGGTCTAGGGGCCACACTTTGAGAACCAAGTGCTCAAAATAAATGTTAACTGTAATTTGCCCAGTGGTGGAAAAGAGTGGCGCCCCTCCAAGGGTCACACTGTAGGACTGAGAAGCTGGAGAGCCTTATTCCAACACCAGCTCTCATGCTTTTCATGGAACTCAAATGTGGCACCTGGGGTACGGGGTGGGGGTAGGTGAACAGGTTCCTGATTCCATCAGTGCTCCCTCGGGGATGAGAAAGCCATCTGCATTTGACCATGCAGGGGTGCATGCAAAGACCTGGGGTTTAAATATCGGTAGCTCTACTCTAGAAGACTCTATGTAACTAATTCACCCCATATATTCCCTTAGCACTAAGCCGGAAGCGGACACAATTTTATGAACTATTTCTTCCCTGCTGCTTTTCCAAAGCAAGAGTTCTTTTCTTGTTGTTGAGCACTTGCTATCTAACAGGTGCTGGACTAGAACAGAGGGAATTCAAAGATGAGCAGGACATGGATCCTAATCTTAAGGACTAGCAGGACGTGGATCCTAATCTTAAGGACTTCTAGACTAGACTTTCCCAAGGTTGGTAATTCCTGGAATATCACTCATACCAGCATTCAAATCTAGCACATTCCAAAGCTAAAAGTAAATAAATTCTGAATTATCCACCTACATCCTTCCCACCCAAAGCTCAATAATTAAAAGTTAGTCACAAATAGTTGTTTGCTTTCATGCAAACATTTCCAATGCATTAAAAAAAAATGAGTAAATCATCAAACCCCTTCTCTCACCTGACTGGGAGACCTCAGGGGAGGGACTATGTTCTGTTTCAGTTTTACCTCTGCACTGACTTTTGTATCAGACCCTGCTCAAATAGTTGCTAGCAGCCCAGTACCTTCTTTCTCCCACAAACCAGTTTCCAACTGTTTCTGGTGTTTCTCTGACCACATCCTGTACTGAACTGATTGGTCAAAGTATTAAGGAATGTGTTGCCCCAGCATAGGCCCCGTACAGTGCTGGAACAGAAGTGGCCACTAGTAAGCATTTGCTGCACAGATGGACACGTGGAAGGAAGCCGCCATGCAGAGTGACAGTCACAGCCCCAAGAGCGGCCCTACATGTCCAAATGCTGAGAAGGCCCCACGCTTGCATGTGAATACTGCAGTGTGGAATGCTCTCTTTCTTTCAGAGTTGGGCACTTGTCCAAGGTGAAACACCTTGAATCTTAGAACACTGGTTCTTAGTTCCCCTGGGAAAGGAGGGGGGTGGATGTGTGGGGAAGGGAGACATGAGAGAGGGGAACCGGCTGAGACTTGTCAGGGGAGGGTTAGGGGCTGACGGTCTGGAGGCACTCTCAGCAGAAGGAAGCCTGGAAGTGTGGCCAACTCCCCTTGCTAGTGGAGCAGGACTTCACGAGCTTTTCGTGTGGACTTGGGTGACAGCCCAGTTCAACCTGCTTTTCTCCAGGGTTATCAACTAAACGGCAGACACGAGCCCTTCTTCCTGAGTGGAAATCATGCCCAAGTGCCAGCCCAGCTCTGAGGAGCAGACAGGACTGGTCCAAAGGCCTGACCAGGGTTGGGGCCACAATCCCATGGCTTTCAAAGCGGTATGACCCATCTTTGGGCTCCTGAAGGCCTGGGCTTCAGGAGACAGACCAGCAGGGAGTGGCAGGAGGGTCGTTCTGCTCAGATAGGAAACCACAGACTTTGAAAATACCCAAGACCTTCAGTCCCTTCCTGCATGAGGCATTGAGAGAGCAGAGAGGGGTACGAATAGCTCCATTTTCCTGCCCCTTGTGCTGCACAGCTTGTAGGAAGAAGAGGGCTGGGTCGGCTGGTCCGAGCAGAAAACAGGGGTGGGAATTAGGCAATCCCATGAGAGCCTGGTCAGAAGGGACGGAAGAGACTCACCAGTTTGGAAGAGGTTTAGTTCACACTCCAGGTAGTCAAACATCTCCACTGTTAACTGGAAACTGGACCCAAAAGGAAAGAGAGCTTACACTCCACTGCCACAGGCCAGTCTATTACCTGCCCCTCCCCGACAGGTGGTGCTGCTGCTTCCAGCCCCCAATGCATATGTGTGTGCGCAAATGCCCACACACACATGTACATATACACATGCATGCACACATACACACACATATATGCACATACACAACCCAGCTCCAATTCTAAGCCCCTACCCAAGTGAGTATTAAGGACACTTGAAGATGGAGCAGGGCAAAGAGTCAATGAGTGACTGTGGCAAAGGGGGAGGACAGGGATCAGTGCTGGGTTGGGAAAGTGGAAGGGGGAACACAGAGGGAAACCTGGGGGTGTGAGACAGCCAGGCAGGGGCTCTGGATGAGGCACCAGCAATAAGTGGCCCCAAGGCCAAGTCACCCAGGGTGTTAGTCCCCACCCCAGCCACTGCCCCTACCATCAGTCCATCTATGACCCCGACAGGGAGTGACAGCATCCACTAAAGCTTTCCTCCCCACTGGGTCCAGTGCATGAGGACAGCCACTTACAAGTTGTTAACATCACTTTCTCCAGCCTCGTCCAGCTGTCGGTCACTCATCTGAAGGTTGCCTGGGAACCTGGGATTCTGGAGAGGAGGAAGAGGCAGTCAGTCAGACCAGGGCGCAGTCAGAGATCGCTGTATAGCACAACCAGGCCAACATCAAGCAAGCCGTCTATGCAGCTTGGGCTGCGGTGGGTCAGATGCGCTATGCAGCAGCTCCTCTGCCAGGAGGCGGCGGCAGTTTCTCACAACCGCTAGGGCTCATGTCTCTGGCTCCCACGTCCCCCATGTTCTGTGGGTCTATGAAATTCCATCCTCTGCCAGGGAAGTCCCATTGCAGACTTGGCTCCTTGGCTCCGCAGGCACATCCATGCCTCTGCCGTCCTCGGTGGCTGGTGCCCACACACAGGGCTCTAGCTGTCCAGCCAAACCCTCTTCACTGTTCTCATGGTGCTTCCTGTGCTACGTCAACTATCCTGCTGCCCTCCTAGAATTTCAGGGAAGCTTCCAGCCTCAATCTGTCCCCTGTCCCAAAAGGATGGTGCAGCCTTCTGGAGTGATGGGTGTTCATTCTCCATGGCCCTGTTTAGCATTCCTCTAGGGGCCCCATGTTGCTCCATGCCACATGAAAATGACTCATGCTTGCAGGTTCATTTGATTCAGTGATTCCTGCTTTATAGTTCCTCTTCACTGGTACCTGCCATCTCCTGGTCACTAGCCAGTACCACCCAGGTCCCTGGCACGTGGGTCAGTCTTCCTGCACCCGGGACCACAGCCTCCGACATCTTCAATTTCAGCTTCTCCAGCTCTACTCATGTTGGCTCCTGATGCCCACTCTGGACACTGCTGTCACCTGGACCTGCCCCTCCCTGGAATCTTCCACTCCAGCACCTCACCAGCTGGCTGGCTGTGACCCCTGGGCTTCTGCCCTTCCCGTCCTCTCCTGTCCCTCTGTCTAAGAGATGTCCAGTCCCTTCCTGCTCCCTCTTCTCCCAGTCTCTCTGGCCCCTTCTGGCCATGTTTGCTGTCTTGCTTGGTCTGGACATCATGATTGGTGCCAGGTCCCACTCCCATGCTCCTGCCTTTCCAGCTGTGGTCACTACCCTGCTGTTAAAACCTGCTGAGCCTGGACCCTTGTCACATGCTCTGTGCCTAAAGCCAGCTGCCAAATGTCCCTGGAGAAGGACTCACAGCTGGTGTCACCATGACTTCATGCTCTCTGGCCTTAGTGTCTGTCTTCACCAGCTTGGGCTGCTATAACAAGGCACCTCAGACTGAGTGGCTTAAACAAAAGACACTGAATTCTCACAGTTCCAAAGCCCAAGATCAAGGTGCTGGCAGATTCGGTTCCTGGGGAGGGCTGTGTCCTGGTTATGGCCCTCACCTGGCAGAGAGAAAGCAGCAGCTGTCCTGTCTCTTTTTATACGGGCGCTAGTCCCATTCATGAGGATGCCACCCTCATAATTTATGACCTCCTAAAGGCCCCGAGGACCATCACACTGAAGGTTAGAATTTTGACATATGAATTTTCAGAGAAAACATTCAGTCCATAACAGTGGTCCTTAACAGTTTTGCTATTGCCCCTGACCAGTTCCCCTTCCTATCAATAAGTGTTCCACTCCCAAACCTGGTATCTGATTCCCACACCGTCCCCCTCAGCACATGGCCCTCCTCCTGCCATCGTAGGCAGCTGACTCAGCATCCTGCTTCCCATGCTCTTCCCTGCAGTGAACGCACCCGGTTGTCCTTCCTTTCCTCTGGCCTCCAAGGAGGAAGGGCCAGCCTCTTTCCTTACTCAGGATCAGCACCCCCTGCACTATTAGACCCCGTCTAGGTTCTGGTTCACTTTGTCATTCATTCATCAAATCCTGGTGGAGCATGTGTTCTGGGCTAGATGCTAGGCAGACACCTGTTCTCTGTCCTCTTGGAGCACCCAGCCTCTGCCTCCGTGAGCCCTTGTCCCTCTTCCTATTGCCCCTGCCCTCCACCTTTTCCTGACAATCTTCAGGCAGTCCCCGCCCCTTGGTCTGTCCCATGACAACTGCTAATTCTGGCCCTCAACATCGTCCATGCTGGTAGCCTGCGTCTCTCAAGTCCACCCTCTACACTGCCCCCAGAAACAGCAACCGACAATGCACAGTGGTTACGTCCCTGCCTTACTTACATCCTGATCCCCATCGGTACAGAACATTCTAAGGAGCTTCTCAGGTGGGTGCTGAGGCTTCTGGGACCGGGCAGTTTCACACAACTGCCTGGCGACCCGCTGCTCTCCACGTTGCTGACACATCATGCCAAAGTGGATCTACTGCTAGTTCCACAGGAACACCAAACTGTCCTGGGCCTGACACCCTCAGGTCTCCAGCTGATCCCTCTGCCTGGAATGCCTTCTTCATCTGGCCACCTCCTCTCCACCTACTATGTGGCAAATTGGGTCCTGGGGGGCGGGACATGAGTGTATTTTGCAGGAGGGAGGGATGCCAGGCCAGCCCCCAGCTGCTCTGCCCCAGCCGGCTTCTGACTGCAACTACCAGAGAGACCGCAGGCCATAAGTGCCCAGCCAAGCCCCTCCGGAACTCCTGACCAACAGAGAGTGAGAGCTAATAAAAGACTGTTGCTGTTTTAAGCCACTGGATTTTGGGGGAAGTGTTCTGCAGCACAGACAACCATAAGCTCTAAGACCGAGAGCAGGTGTGCCGCCTCTGAGAACCCCACCGGGTCCCGAGAGTGGGCCAGTCATGCCCTTACACGCTTCCGAACCACCTCCACCCCTCTCGGTTCCGGTCCTTACTGTCCTTGTCTATCTTCTCTTCCGCTACCACCTCTCCCCTAACCAAACTATAAGCCCCCCAAAGGCAGGGACAAAGGCTCTTCATCTTTCTCACCTCAGAACCTAACTCGTTCTGGTCCATGGCAGGCACCTCCGTCGAGGGGAGCTAAGAGTGGCCACTTTCACAGTGTGGCTCTAGTGTCAAGTCCCCGTGTCACTCCTGAGGAGCTGTAGGACTGGGCAAGGGACTCGACCACTCCCCAGACTTTCTTTTCCCAGAATATAATAATACCAACTACCTATGGTTATTGCCAGGATTAAGGGATGTACATAAAAGGCTTAACAGGGCAGAAAAGTATCAATGAATCAAAGCCACCCTTCAAGTACATAAAAGATAATAGTGATCAAGACACTAAATAATGTTATTTCTTCTTGAATCTCTTCCCTTCTCCATTCCCACTCACTAATTCAAGCTGTTCCTCTCTCACCTGCCATTCCCCTTCCCCGCCCACCTATTTGCACCATTCCCATTCTCACAGTGCCCCTGTGTCCTGCCCTTTCTGCCACTGTAACCCTGTGTCACTCCAGGACGTCTTTGGCACTTTTCCCCAGACACAGATTACCGCTCTGCACAGTTGCACGGCTACTGCAAATGCGTAAGCCTCCCTCCCCCACGAACCCGCAAGCTCCTAAAGAGCAGGTCACACTTACTCATTGTCACACACCCTTTGGTGCTGAGCGCACAGTTCCACGTGTATCAGGTGCACGAGAAATACTTTCTGGCCAAAGTCATGTACTGACTAAGAGAAGGTTCTGGGGGGGAAACTCACTATAGAAACTGCAGGAATTGTTTCTATTAACAGTAAAATCAATGCTTCTGTAACATTTCATGAGGCAACCAGAGGATATGGTTCCTTTTCTATTTGCAAAATGTGCAGAAGACACAGGCCAAGATCCCAGTCCTTTTGTCACACCACATGTGGCCCTATGAACTGTCTTCTTCTCACATGGCTGGGACATGGTATTCACACTCGCCGAGGAGCCCAGGTGGGCTATGAGCTGAGAGACCTGACAATTAAGCCCAGAGAGGAGCTGAGGGGGTGGAGGGGACAGGGAGGGATGTGGGGGAGAGGCAGATGGTGGTGTCAGGACTGTTGCAGAGACTCACTTTGGTGTGGTACTCCATCTTCGTTCTCAGCAGTTTGAGGTAGATGCTGCAGAGCTGTCCATACCCCTCACTCAGGTGGCCCTTTTAGGAAGAAGAAATAAAATCTGGGAGTGTCAACACAGAGAGCACTTGGGTGGGGAGACCTGCAGCCAGGACTTCTTTTGTAAAGAATCCATCTTTTTCTGATTATGAAAATAACATGTCTTTGGTTGAAAATTTGGAATACAGAAAAGTGCACTCACAAACAAATCACCTTAATCTAACCAGAAGATACAATCACGGCTAACATCTTGGGAGTATGACCCTCCTTTTATTTTACTTTACTTTTTGAATTTAAATAGATTATTTTTAGGAGTAGTTTTAGGTTCACAGCAAAATTGAGCAGAAAGTACAGAGTTCCATATACTGCTTACCGACCTCCGACTCACACAGCCTCCCCACTATCAACGTCCCCCGCAAGGGCAGTACATTTGTTCCAATCAATAAACACATTGTGATCACCCAAAGTCCACAGTTTACAGTAGGGTTCACTCTCAGTGTTGTATGTTCTATGGGTTTTGACCCATTCTATGGGTGTGTGATCACTTGCTTCCACCATTATTGTATCATACAGAATAGTTTCACTGCCTGCCAATATTCTCGGTGCTCTACCTTTATTATTAAATATAAAATGGAATCGATTTATTTTTTTCACTTAATATACTACAATTTTTTCCATCTTCCTAAACTTTCTTCTGTATCATCATTTTTAGTGACTGCCCAATACATAAGTATATACCATAATTTATTAAACTAATTCAATAAATTCAAATTAGCTGAAGCCAAGTAAAATTAGTTGATATTACGGCTGTTGTAAATTATGCTTCCACAGTCTTCCAGTCAAGATGGTGGAATAGATGGTCCCCAGTGTCACTCTCTCCCACAAATCAACAAGTTACAACTATTAAAAAGCAATGACAGGGGGCCGGCCCGGTGGCGCACTGGATAGTGCGCCGCTTGGGAAGCGCGGCGGCGCTCCCACCCGAGGGTTCAGATCCCACATGCGGACCGGTTCCCGCTCACTGGCTGAGCGAGGCGCGGGAGCAAC